TAAATCTTAAAAAATAATCCCATCTTAAATAATTACACTTTCTTATTTAAAATCTATAAAAAACTATAAAATATCATCAAATTTAATATTTTAAACTAAAAAACTCTTTTCTCCTTCTTTTAAATATTTCCCAATAACTTTATATATTTATGTATAATTTTTTTTTATTATCCATTTTAAAAGAATATTATATAATTTTTTATTATTTTTATCAGAAACAAAATAGTTTTCCGGATTTTCAGCAGTTAAAATTAAAAATTTCTGATTTTTTAAAATTTATATTAATTCACTTTATTAAAAATCTTTACTTTATAATTAATTGACGTTTGTTTATAACCATTTTTTACTTTTTCTTATTTTTTATCGATATTCAGTTTCTTAATTTGTAGAAAGTTTTATATATAAACCTTAAATTATAATATATTTTTATATTGAATTTAATTAATCATTGAATTATATTTAATATGGTTATGTATATTAAAAATTTTATTATGTTGTAAATTATAATTAATTAATAAGAAGATAAATTTAAATAAAAAAAGAATATTCAACACTAAATTTATAAAAAAATATATATATTTATATATATATTTATAATAAATATTTTTTATTTATTTATATTACATTCTTAACTTAAAATTAAATACATTTTTTTTTTTTATATCTAGTTATATTTTGTATTTTGTTAAATAAAAATTTATTTATATTCTTGTTAATTCATTATACTTATTTAAAAAAATAATATATTATTATTGTTTATAAATATTATTTTTAAATTGAATTGTTTAATTATATTTTAAAAATTTATTCATTATTTTTTATAATGTATATATAGATATTTAATTAAAAATTTAATTATATATATATTATAGAAAATAAATATAATATTTTTGTTATAAATAAAAAAATAATATTTAAGAAAAAAAAGAATTTTTAAATTTTATTTTTAAAAAATAATATATTATTAATTTAGAAAAATAAATATTAATAATACTTTATTATTTATAATTTTATATATTAATAATTAAAAAATATTTATATATTATAAAATTTTTGAAAATATAAAAATTATAATAAAAAAATAATATATATAAATATATATATATAAATATAAATATATATATATATGTTTATTTAAATATATTTATATATATATTTTTTTACAAATATTAATATAAATATATCTTTATTATTTTATAATATAATTAATTTTATTTTTTTTCTTTACACATAAAATATTTAAATATTTATAATATACGGATTTAAATAAAACATATATTAAAAAAATAAATATAATGTTATTAAACACACATAATATATTAAATTCGCATACTCATACTATAAATAAAAACAGTTAAAATAATTTCTTTGATAAATTTAGTGTTTAAAAAAGAAATATTGAAAATATTTAAACTTCTAATATACACATATAAAATTTTTTAAGCACTTTTTTATCTTAAAAAAGGAATCCAGTATAAGTTTAACCTACAAAAAATCATTTAGAATCTTCCTAAAATAATACACAAAAAAAGAGCCAGAAACTAAGGCGAAATTATAGTATTTAAAGCAATGTATAGAGTTTGAATATATCTTTTAAAAATATGAATAAATAGAAAAAAAATATAAATTTTATTTTCATATTGATAAAAATATAATAGTTTGTCCAAAAATTAAAATAATAAATTTAATATTTATTAAAATATGATTAATCATTTTTACAAGAGTACCTATATTTAATTAATGATAGAGTGTTTTTTTAATAGGAGTAAAACAAAAAATTCTCTGTGGACTTTTTTTCGTAAAAAATCTACTTTTTGGATAAAATACCTATATTTTTTCCTAATAATATATTCTATATATTATGGAAAACGTGTATTTTGTTTATTTCTTTTGCTAATATTTACTATACGACTATTTGTGCATCATTTGATATCTAAAATAATATATATTTGAATAAAAATACTAACTGTTATGCCATAAATATACTCCGCTTGATTTTTTTGGGCGATTTATTTGTAGATCTTAACACTAGTCATTATGAAGAAGAAGGATAAATCGAAAAAAAGAGAAAAATTATAATAATAAGGGAATTTAAAGGCAATTTTTGGATTAATTTATTGAAAATTTCTATTTTTTTTTTCGATTCAAATATTTTACTTTATATACTTGCAATATTACATATAAACTGTTTTTAGAAATGCTTAAATATTATAGACGAATTTTATTAATTTTATTAAAAATTTAATATTTTAAGAACTATATTAGGACTTGTTTTATTAACATTTACAATCGCACATATTAGTGGGTGTATTTTTTATTCGGTTTCAAAGATTTAAAGCATTTCTTATGTAAAAAATTAATAAGGAGGAATTTATGATAATTGGATATAATATTAAGGTCTATAAAAAGCAGATTGGGAAGAATAATATTTTATTCTTTATATTTTGCATTTATTACTATGACTACAGTCGGATATGGTGATGTACTGCCTATATCTTATATGAGAAGATTTATGTGATTTTCATGATCTTTATCTCTAGTGCTATATTTGCTTATACTATAAATAAAGTAGGATAAATAGTAAATGATGTTTCTGAAAAATAATAAATTAATAAAAAGGAAATCTAAATGATGACTTATTATATGAATAATAGAAACATACCATCAAATACATAAATAAAAGTGTTAAAAAGTCTATAACATATCTAAAAAAAAGAAAAGGAAATACTTATTATGAAATAAGGATAGACTTTTATATAAAAAATTTAAGAAGATATTAAAAAAGAATTTTTTTATGCTTATTATGGAAATATACTTAATTAAAATAATTTTTTAAAAGTGAATTTTTCAAAAGAATTTTTAAGTCAATTGACATTTTTTATGAAGGAAAATATGTATAATTTAAATGAAATTATATATAATTCGAAAAATATTTAAGATAAAAAACTGTTATTTTTTATTATGAAAGGTGAAGTGGGTATTTATAATAATTTTAATGATAATAATCCTATATAAATTCATAAAATTAATGTACAAAAAATATATAAATAATTATATATAAATAAAATTTATATGTAAATATATATATAAAAATATAATAAGATAAATAGAAAAAATAATAATATAAAAATAAATAAAATATATAAATAATATTTAATATATATATATATATATATATATATATATATATATTTTTATATATATTAGAAAAATAATTTTTTGAATATATAAAATTTCTTTAGTGCAAATTTAAAGGATGAAGGTATTTTTATAAAAGCTTTAACTAATTGTTTGATTTTAGTTTTAAATATAAATGATTTTATAAAATGTGGGAAGAAATAATATCCTTTGGATTATGAGAAATATTGTATGTTAAAACATAAAATAATGCAGGAGTAAATTATTATTTAAAAATGCTATATTTGTGGCAAATTTACTCATGATTTTAACAGTTGTACTTAAGTTCATTTATATTTAAATAATTATATATCTATAAGGAAATTTTAAATTTAAGAAAATTAAAATTAAAATTATAGGAAAAAATTACTGAATAGTAGATTTCTATAAAAATTCAATTCACTTTATCTTAAAAAATACATGGATAAAAAATTAAGGAAATGGAGAGAAAATAAAGTACTTATGGCAAGAAATATATCTTCTTCAGATCTTTCTATTAGTACTACTGAACTATAATAAGAGAGAAGTAAAGAGTTTTTTTATAGAGTACCTTAAATTATTTATGAGAATTCTCAAATATTAGAAAAAATGAATGATATTGAGGATTATATGTTAGATTAAAGCTATACTAGTGATTAATACGAAGATGAGAATATAATATAAGATTAATTAAAGGAAGATTATTATATGATAAAAAATAAATAATAGAATTTAAAAAAACCTTAAAAAATAAAGCTAAAAACTACTCATAATATAAATAATAAATGCAGCTCTTCTTATAAGAATTGTCATTTATAAAAATCTATAAGTTAAAGTGAAATTAATTATAAAAAATAAATGTCATAATCACCTATTTTTATACAAATATGGAAAATAACTAAGTATTATTAGGATAATAGGATATGGAAATAAATTAATTGATTTTTGACAATATTTTGGAAACTGAATAAAATGAAGAAAATATTAAAAATAATATATTTATTGAATAAAATGAAGATTTTATTCAAAATAATATTATTATAGATTCAAATAAAAAATATATTCATAATAATTAATTTATTGAATAAAATAAAGAAGTTAATTAAAACAATATATCATTTGAATAAAATTAAAAGAATAGTTAATTATTTATTAATAATAATATATAAAAAAAAGAAAATATATATAGTTAACTATATTAAATTCGTAATAAGACTATTTCCGAAAGAAATATTGAATTAAATCGAAGAAAAAATAAAGTTTTTTAAAAAAGATCATTAGAAATTGATTATAAAATAAAAGAATTATATAGAAAAAAAGTTAATATTTTTTATTTTATATTTAAACTTTTTTTTTTTTTTAAATATATAGAGAAGGTCATAAACTGCAAAAATATTTTTATTAAAAAAAGATTAAAATAAAGATTTTGGGAATTAAAGCTCATAAAAAATAAAGTTTTATGTAAAAAGTAAAAGTAAAGTAAACTAATAATTGAAGGAGGAAATTACAGAAATGTATCATAATAGTAATTTATCAATAGAAAGTAAAATTAATACATAAAAATAAGTTTTAAAAGATTTATATTTTTATGATTTTGATGAAAAAAAAGAATTCGATATTTTTTTGACTTAAAATAACTTATCAAATGTTATTAAGAATTTTTAAAAATACATTAGAAATAAAAATGCGAAAATTAAGAATTTTTAAATAACAAAAAAATTAAAAAACATAGTACAATCAAAATTATATAAAAAAAAAAAATGAAAACAATATAAAAAGTTTATTTTTTATTTTTTAAAAAATAAAAAAATATTTTAATTTTATTTTAACAAACATTTTAAAATTCATTTATTAATATTATTTTTACTTGTACTAATATTTTTTTACCATTTCATAATATATTTAAAATCATCGAATCCCACTAAACCATCTTTATCTTTATCTGCTTTTGTTATCATTTCAATAAGTTCATCATCTTATAAATTTTCTCCAATTTATACTGCTATATTTTTTAGCATTTAAAATGATATTTTTTAATGTAAAAGTTTGTTTTTATATTCATTAGATTTAATTTTCTATATTGATTTTTCTTGACTTTTTATTTTACTAAGTTAAGAATTGTCTATATTATCTTTTTATTAACTGTCATCATCATCATAATCATTATTTTCATCATCTTAATAATTAATAATATCGTTTTCGTCTGTTAAGTGAATTTTATTTGCAATTTCAACAAAATAACAAAAAACTTATTAATAATCTTTCTCAGTTGTGTCATTTTCATTGATTTTTTTTTTCATTAAATCTAAAAATTCCTCGAATTCAAGAGATTTAGTATTATCTTTATCCAAGGCATTCATTATTTCTTCTAATCTTTTTTCATTTATTTAAAATCCTAATGATAACATAGCAGCTTTTAATTCGTCTATTTAAATAGAACCACTACCGTCTTTATCAAAAAAATCAAATGCTTCTTTTATTTATATAATTTCTTATTCAGAAGTACCAGGTTGTTCATGTAATTTAGGATTAAATAAAATTTATTTTTATTAAAAATTCATTTATAAATTTATTTAAATTATAAATACAAATTTATTGAAACATGTATATTTAAAAATATTTATATATAATATATATATATATATATATATTTATATTATTTTATATATTTTACTTTTTTATATTATTTCAATATTATTTTATTATATTTTGGCAACGATTAAGTATTTTTTTATTTATATTATCATTCTCATATAATATATCTAAAGATCTATTTAGTTACTTATTTATATTATGATTATTACATTTTATTTTTAATATATTATCATTATTTAAATCATATATATTCTTTTATGGTTATTTTTCATCTTTTTATTATTAAAAGCACTTTATAGTGTTTTCTAAGAAATTTTATTTTTAAAATATAATTTATTATAATTAAGTATTTTCTTAATAAATATTTTATATTTTTTAATTTTATTAATTTATTATGAATTTTTCTTTTTATATTTCCTAGTTTTTTTCTGAAATTAATTTTTCAGTTTCTTTTTTTTAATTAAATTCAAATGTTTGGAATTATATTTTGTTTTCACATTATATTTAGTTTATTTTTATATTTAGTTTTCTTATTTATTCTTCATAGTTATTTTTAAGTATTTCGTTTTCTTCTTTTAATATTTAGATTTTCTTTTTTAAACTTTTTTAATTTTCGAAATGTTAATTTTTTTCTTCTTCAAGTTTATTTTTGATATTATCTTTTTCTTTTTTTAAATTTATGTTTTCTTCTTGTTTTTATTTTATTAGATTCTCAAGGTTATGTAAACTTTCAATTTGTTTATTAAATTATTACTATATTTTATGGTAATTATCGTGTAATTTATCAGCTTCATTAAGTTTTTCATTTTATTTTTATATTTTTAGACTCTAAAATATTACATTTATTAAGAATTTATTTAAAGTCTTTTTCAAGAAGTTTAATTTTTCGATTTTTTAAATATTTTTTTAATTATTTTTTTTAATTTATTTCTTAAATTTACATTTTGCATTTTTATTCATTTTCTTATTTTATCAAAAAAATCTCATTGTCTTTAATTTTTAAAATACTTTAAATTTCTTCTATTTTCCCATTTAAATTTTATATTTGTCTTTCGTATTCATTTTTGAAAATTTTTTCTTTTTTTTCAAAAATTTAACGTGCTTCTTCTAAAAAAAGCTCTTTTTATTCTTTATAAAAATTACATTCTTCTTAAATTAAATTAAACTTTTCTAAATAATATTATAAATCTTCTTTGTGTTAATTTTTTAGTATTTTTATTTGATCACATTCTTAATTTAAATTTACTTATATACTTTAAGAACTTGAAGATATTGATATATTATTTTTTTATGGACTGCTTTTGTTTGTTAGTAATACTTATTGGATTTGAGAAGCTGTATATTTTTTAGGACTTTGTTGGTTAAATTTAAATGGAAGTTTATTTTAAGTATTTATGTTTTCTTTGTTTAATGGATAGCTAATCATATTCTTTTTATTATTTTTTAAATTTAATTGATTGTTTTTTTTTGAAAAAATATTAATATTTATAAGTTTTTTAATTTTTTTATATTGTTTTAAATTATTTATAATGTAAAAAAAAAAATAAAAAATTTATAATATATATATTAATATATATTAATATATATTAATATATATATATATATACATTTATTTTTATATATATATTTATATATAAATTTCTATCATTATAATTATTTATTCATTTAATAATATTTTTTTTTTTTTATATATTTTAGGTTTATATATACATATTATATCTGTTATTTTTTTAATATAAAAATATATATATTTAATTTTATTTTTATAGAAAATATATTTTCTATGTTTTAAATAAATACTTGAAAAATATATTAATTATTTATATTTTTATCAAATATATAAAATTATGATATTTAATATTATACACTTACGTATATTAATTTTTTATAATATTAAATAAATAAATACATATAATAATTAATCAACTTTTATTTTTATTTTTATTTTAAATCTCATATAAATATAATTTTATATAAACAAATAAATAATTAATAATAAAAAATTTAAATAAAATAAATATTATTGTATATTTTATTTAAATATATATTAAAAAAAAATAAAAAATAAAAAAATAGAAAAAAAAACAAAACTAAAAAATGCAAATAAAAATATTAGTAAATAAAAAAATAAAAATAAAATTCTTTAAATCAAATAAAAAAAAAAAAAAAAAACCAAAAAAAAAAATGTTTTAAGATTAAATATTAAATACTGAATCAATAAATGAATGCTTATCAAATCGACAAAACGCCAAATTAATATATCTACAAAACGACAACTAATAATTAATGTAGGATAACTTAGACTTAAAAGATATTTTAAAATTAAATAAAGAAGCACTAAGAATCGCCTATTAATAAAACATGGAAATAAACACAACACAATTATAAAAAAATGAAATAGAAAGAAGTTAAAGCAAAAACTAATAATTAAATATTGAATTTGTAAATAAATTAACCTAAGAAAACCAAATTTTATTAGATTGTATAGAAAGACTAACTAGAGCAAGAAATAAAGCTTAGACTATACAATTGTTGTAAGAATAAATAGGAGAAGATAATTAAAATTTTAATAAACAATTAATAGCAGAGCATGAAGATAAAATACTAGAATTAAGAAGACTTATACATGATAAAGAATATGCAATTTAAGAACTAGAAAAACAAAAGGTATATGTGATGAAGATAAAAAAGTATTAACAAGAGTGAAAGATGTAATATATATATAAATATATATATTATATATATATATATATATATATATATATTATATATAATATAAATATATATATATTTTTTTATGTGTATTTTTTTATTTTTTTTGTTTATTTTTATATATATTTTTAGATTGCTACTCCTAATGAATAATCTGTAAAATTACATAATGAAATTGATTAGTTGAAATAAATAGTTTAAAAATTAAGTTAATAAAATAATTCTTTATAGGAATAAATTTAATAAAAAGATGAACATTTAAAAGTAATTTTATTTCATATAGAATTTTAAAATTACACTTTATATTATTATCTCTAAATATTCTTAATTTTTTTTAATTATAAAATATAAATAAATCATTTATTTTTTGTTTTTCTTTTAGTAAAAAATAAAATAAACAAAAATTTTTAAATAAATAGTATTATATATATAAATATATATATATATACATATTTATTTTAAAAAATATATATATATATATATAAATTATATATATATTATATATAATATATAATATATAATATAGAAATAATTAAAAAGGTAATTAGATAAGAAATTCTTAAATTAAGAATTTGTATTTTAAATCCTGTTAATTTTTATAAAATGAAAGGTTTTTTATTATATAGTCATGTAGATAATGGCGATGAAGGTCAAAATATGTGTTAATATTTTTATAAAGAGTTAAACAATTAATAGCAAGAATAGTAATAGGAAGAATATAAGATTTAAAAATAATAATAATATTAAAAAATGTAAAACCCATTAAGACCAGTACGTACCTCACAAAAAACTTTTGAAAAAGGAAGTGATAAATATTCAAATATGGAAGAAAATTTAATACGTGTATTTAAGTTATTTAGAAGGGAGGTGGAAAATAATAATTTATTGGTTAAAAAAATAGAAGAGCTTTAAAATGAAAACGAAAATTGTAAAAATACGAATGAAACTTTGATCAAATCTAATTTAAATTTGTAAAATTAAATATAATAATTAATTTAGGATAACGGATTTTTGAAATAATATTAATAAAAATATATAAATGCGATTAATATGAATAGAAAAAAAAGAAATTTTAGTTAAAATTATGTAGAATTTAATTAATAATCATTAAATGGAAGATTATTTTCTAATAAAGATTTGAATAATAAAAATTAAGAAAATAATAACGATTGTCAAGTCAATATTAGTATTTTATAAAATGAAGACTAATAATATTATATATAAGAAAGATATGTAAAATATTACATATATATATATATATATATATATGGAAATTAATAAATAATTATATATTTAATTATATTTATATTGTTAAGAAGAAAAATTAAGAATATGGATAAAATATAAGATTTGATTTGATTGAGAAAAAAAGCAATAATATTTATGATTAATATAAAAATAATAACAATGATTAATTTGTTTTATCAAAAGATTAGGCTAAAATATATTTATTGAATTTAGCAAAAGATTTATATATTAATTGTAATATGAAAAATAAAGGTATAACTCGTTAAGTATTAAAACAAATAGAAATCGGAGGATATAAAACTAATATGATAGTATTATTTAAGTAAACTATAAAAAAAAATATAAATTTATATATTATATATATATATATATATATATATATATATATATATATTTTAGAAATAAAAGAGCATTGAGTAATCCATTAGATTATATAAGTAATAATATTAAAAATAAACATAATTTAAATTTAATCTAAAATATTAACAATTTTGATTTTAATAACTAAAATGTCTAATAAAAAAATTCATTTAATAATATTTTATAGTAAAATAATGAAAATTTAGTTATTTCGAAATAATAAAGTGGTCCATTTAATATTGATATGAGTTATATTTAAACTAGTAATAAAAATATTTAGAATAATTTAGCTAATAAATAAAAAAAAAAATTGTAATCGATACTAGTTTTATTTCAAATGAAGAATAAATAGATGAATATAATTGAAAAGATATATAAATAAATATATATATTTAAATATATATATATATTCATATATTAATAATTATTTTAACTTTTTAAAAAATATAAATTTTATTATTATTTTTTCTCAATTTTTTTTTTAAATATTATTCATATAGTTATATAAAATATTCTTAATTTTAACTTTCTACACATCTTTTATCTCTTAAGCTTCTTACTTTTTATATTGCTTCTTTATAATTTTCAATAATTCCTATCTTTAATAATATACATGAAGCAATTAATCCTGCTCTTCCTATCCCTCCTCTACAATGTATTAGTATATTTGATTTATTTTAAATTTATTAAATTATATTTGATTCTATAAATTAATCAAATTCTTACAATTTATTTTTATCAGGAGTACTCATTTCAATAATAGGATATTTAATTAAAGTTATATTTTATTCATCGCAAATTTTTTAATATTTTTTTCACATACACCTATTGAACGTAACTCAAATTCATTTAAAAGACATATTATTATGTTTATATTTTATGTGTTTTTTATATTTGTTATGTCTATTTTTATATCACGGTTGTGGGGTTTGCCATCTCGACCTTTCAATAAGTTTTTTCCAGGGCATTATGATAGATAAATATTTGATATAATTTATGAAAGTTTTAATAGAGGTTAAATTTATTATTCCATTTTATAATTTTATTTTTTAGGTTGTAATATATTTATATTTTTGTTAAAAAATATGAAATAATATGCATATATATATATAGATATATATATGAATATATAAATATATATATATATATATATATATATTTTATATTATTTTACAATATTTTATGAATTTTTAAAAATTTAATTGTTTAAAAAATGTATAAATTTTTCCTTATTTTCCATATACATAAATTATAAAAGTCAACTTATTTCTTATTTTA